GTCTTCATAAATTGATAAGGCTTTCTCTTCAATGTTGAGAAAGCTTTTTCGTTTGATCTTCTATCCACACACTTAGAAGCCACTCTCTCTCAAGTTCGTTCGGCCATGATCTCTCAGATTTGCTAGCACTCAGGCTTGTTCCAGCAATACAGCTTGCTTTAATGTTTTCTGCATTGTGGCTAATGGTGTGTAACATTGCGCAACAGGAATAATCGTATGTTCTTTCATTATATTCAAAATGCTTTATAACATCTAGCTTCTCTTCAAACATTATAGCCTTTCTTTTACGTTCACCACCCACAATTTTACCACGAGGACACTTCTTGCAAACAATTCTTGTTACTTTGTCCTCCCATATTTATAGGTAACACAGCAAAATTTGCAAAAAAGAATTACAGGGTACCACTCAAAAAGCACTAAAACCGCAAAGTACTTGAGTCAACTGAACATGTGATGTCAATGCAGAGACTCTGTTGGCATAAATATTATATTCCTCCACACAGCACGACACCAAGTATTGGAGATGGAATTGTATAACAGCTGACACACGTATGCAGAAGTTCATATTTTACAAACAGCTTTCACCTATACATCAATCACATTACAGCCAACTCGCATTGACAAAACGTGTAATAGCAGAAAGGATTGTACTGTATGCATTTCTGGTCACCCAGTTAAATGAAGGATATTATTAAGCTGGTGATGCCCCTTCCTCTGGGCCAGGATGCCCAGTTTCAAGTCCCACCTCCAGAGGTGCATCATGCCCTCTGTAAACAGGTTGACTAAAAACATCTAGAGCTCCATCCTGATTCCAGCCTCATGCAGTAAAAAGAGGTGAGAAACAGGAAGACAGATTGATGTAATTTTTTTAAAAAGGCTGATGTCAAACAACTAGGTTATAGTCCAAGAGGTTTATTTGAAATCACAAGCTTTCAGGGCACAGGCCTTTGGTCAGACTCCACTTCGACAGCTTGAGATTTCAAATAAATCTGTTGGACTGGTGTTGTGCAACTTCTGACTTTATCCACTCCAGTCCAACACCGGCATTGCTGTGGGTCTGAAGTCACACGTAGGACAAACCAGGTAAGGACAACAGGTATCCTTCCCTAAAAGGAATTAATGAACAAGAGGAGTTCACAGCATAATTAGTGAACCTGGAGCAAGCCATTCCCTGCATGTGTCAGATATTTTGGAGCAGTGTAATTCTGTATATTCATTGATGAAACTACAATAGCATTTTTAAAAATTTTCCATCCTGGGTTGCTCCTTGCTTTCACAGTAGATGTTATGAATTCTGTGCCTGTTTGGTCCAAGTTTAACGTTGACATTGTAAGCATTTAGAATGTCACATCACCTGGGTCCAAAGGAAGCACTAACATAATAAATGACAAGAGCAGGCTCCAGCCCACAAACTGTGCGCAATGCTGTTTTTCGGTCCCGTGGAGACATTGCCCAGACTTTGGCAATGGCATGGGATTAAGGAGGCAATGTTGATAAGCAGTCATGAGGGGACTCAGGCCTACGGCCAAAGAGAGTACACATCTGGGAGCTACCGGAACCATGGCAGAAAATGGTCACAAAGGAACTCAGGCTGCAGGCGACACCAGGAAGGAACCATACACTAGCACAGCTGGTGAGGGAGCAGCCAGCAGGGGAAGTGTTTACTGAAGGAACTCTGACTGTGAGCTGTTGAGTTGCAGGAAATATACTCATTGGCAGGAAAACCAAAATGGCAGGCCAATTTGTGGCAAAAGGGGCCATTTCATGAAGTGTCAGAAAATTGTGCTCCATTTATGGAAAGCTCTCATTTGTTCTTCAAAGCAGCAAAATGGCCAAGGACATGATGCTTTAAGTAGCATTGGAAGCAAGACTTTCACAATTCTAAGGTGTCTGGTACAACCAGAGAAACCCTGGGAGAAGACATAGCAAGGGTTATGCCAAGTGTTAGAAAATTATTTCACACCCAAGCTGCTGACAATAGTGGAATGCTTCCATTGTGGTAAAACAGGTACAGCACGAAGGAGAGTCCATCACCCAATTTGTGATCACTTTAAAGAGGTTAGCAGAACATTGTGAATTCAAAGGTTTCCTCCAAGATGCCTTGTGGGAAGGCATCCAACAGAAGCTACTTAACAAGCAAGGACCTGGATTTCAAGGCAGCTTTTGAAATTACTACCTCAATGGAGTTGGCTACCAGCAAAGGTACCCAGTTGGCTGATGACTCCTGGGTGTATCAAGTAGCAGAAACTCAGCAGAGTGCAGTACCAACTGTAAAATGCTGCTGATGTGGTAAGAGAGTGGCCACAAGGAGTCAATGTGTTGGACTCGAGAAGCCCAGTGAACAGATATACGCAAGTGGGTCATATTGCCTGAAATGGCCAGGTACAACCAAAATAAGAGAAAGAGACAACCCTGAAGCCACAGCATAAGGTACATGCTGCTAGCCAGAGAGTAGACTGGGAGTCAGTTGGGGCTGAAGGAGAAGCAGACAGGCCAGAGTCAGCATAATATCTGTTAAACATCCTATCGGTATGACGTGAAACAGATCGTTTCTGGTTTCTTCTCAAGAGTAGAAGGGAAGACAGTAAAAATGGAAGTGGAAACGAGCGCAGCGGTGTCCTTGATCCCCAAATCAGACTACAGGTAGAAGTTCAGGGCACTACCATTGAAGCCTGCCAAGATTATACTACAGATATACAGGGAACAAGTGGTGCCAGTGAAGGGCAATGTACTGTGGAAGAACAGTGAAAGGACAAGTATGCAGAATTGCCACTTTACGTAGTAAAGGGTGAATACCCTGCATTATTCGGTTACTCCTGGTTACAAAAATTAGACGGTCGAAGTGGGGTGTAGCTAATAGGTTGACAGACTCAAACGTGAGTTTGCAAGAGATACTGGACAAGTGCAAAAGATGGCAGGGAAATGAAAGGCATCTAAGTTAAATTGCAGCTGAAGACAAAGCAATCCTAGGTGTCTGAAAGAATGCCTGATATGCTAGGCCATCCTGCCTGAAGTGGAGGTGAACCTAGGAGCATTGGAATGAGTATCCAGCAGTGAATGAGCTACTCTCATCATTCTGGTGTTAAAAACAGATGGTGCAGCGAGGCCACACTCAACCCAGCCTGGAGTGCAAATCTATACCCGTATTGACTCATAGAAGATCTATTCAGTAGACTGGCGGGAGGAATACATTTTCTAACACGGATCTGTGACAGGCCAACCTACAGATAGAGGTCATGGATAAGTGTGAAGCAACTTACTAGGAGGTGAAGCAAGCCTCAATAAAGTCAAAAAAGTGTTAAATGTTTCATTCCAGTGACCCTTCTTGAGAACTGATGGTAGCTAGAAAAAAAACGTTGGTTTAAATGCAAAAGATAGTGTTTTTTTTTGGGGCAGGGGGGGTGCGGTGGGAGAGGGGAGGGGAAGGGTAAACAATAGGTGGAGAAAGACCCTAAAGACAGAAGAACAGTTGGGCAGACAATGGGGTGAGTAAGTCAGCCAAGGAGAATGAATAACTGCAAATGGATACTATTCGTAGCTAACAATGGGTACAGCAGACCATGTGATAACACAAGGCTTGGTGTGGAGGGGTTGGGGTAAGGACATGGACAACGTGCCTCAAGCCTAAAACTGTTGAACTTGATATTGAGCCCAGAAGGCTGCAAAGTCCCCAGGCAGAAAATGAAACACTGCTCTTCCAGCTTGCATTAGGGTTCACTGGAGCACTGCAGCAAGCCTGAGACAGAAATGTTGACCAGGTAACAGGGTGCTGTGTTGAAGCAGCAGACAACTGGAAGCTAAGGGTCTTTTTTCTGGACAAAACTGGACTGGTTGCCCAGTCTACACTTCCCATTGCCCCAACGTAGGGATGGCCACACTGTGAGCAGCAAATACAGTAGACTGGATTGAGTGAAGTTCAGATAAAGTGCTGCTTCACGTGGACAGTATGTTTGGGGCCTTGGATAGTGAGGAGGGAGGAAGTAACAGGCAGATGTTACACCTTCTGCAGTTGTGTGTATGTGTGTGTGTGCGTGTGTGTGTGGGGGGGGTGGGCAGTGGGAGGTAAAGAGGGGCAGTTGGGAGTGAAGGAGTGTTCCTGTTCAGATTTACCATGTGTTTACCTAGTGTAATATTCTTGGTTCCAAAAGGAAGCACCAACATAAAACAGTCCAATTCCATTTCTGCTCAATGGTAACCCCCAGGATATCGATGGTAGGGAATTCAGTGACGGTAATGGCACTGATAGTTAGATTGTTTGCTGTTGGGAGATAGTCATTGCCCGTTACTTGAGTAACACAATGTCACCATATTGTTGATTTATGAAAACGTAGATGGACGGACAAACAACAGTTGGTAATGGGAACCACACACACACACACACACACACACACTAATAGGAAAAAGCACCAGAATGCAAGTGAGAATATAAATTTCTACAGCAAGTTGAGATGACCTGAAATGCACTGGCTGAAATGGTGGTGGAAGCAGATTCACTGGAAATTTTCAAAAAGCCAATGGGATAAACAATGAGAGAGAAAATATTTGCAAAGCTATGGGCAAAGAGTTTTCCTGCAGAGCCAAAACAGTGCCAAATGACCACCTTTGATGCTGTAACATTCCAAGTTGGAATCAAATGACTTGACTTGTGCCTTGTGAATGGAACTTACCTTCTTACCTATGGACATCTTGGAACATCACCAGAGAAGTGAGAAAGGATTCGGAATGCCTGAACAGTGAAATGAGAGAGGGGATAAAAAAAAAAAGGTGCAAGGTTGCATGCAGCCTTGTTGAGCATACATCTCAGGAGTTTTTAAATATGTTTTTATACACAGTGAAAGGCAGTGTCTTAAAAAATGAAATAAAACCTCATCACAAAAATGGTTCTGATAACTTAGCAAATAGATAGGAATAGCTCACTTAAAGAAGCGTTACACAGCCCATTTAATGTGGAAGGGAGAGTATAAATAGAACAGCAACTCAAGATATTTAAGTATAAGGAATCGGTTAATGTTCATCTTTATTATAGCACCTTGTATTTTATACATTTTTCAGTTTTTTTTTTATAAAACAGGATTTTACAGCACAGGCATTTTAACAACTGGGTTTTTTTTAAAACACATACTTTATCTTAACTTCACTCAATGGCTTAATTGGAGAAAGATTACAAGGAATACACAATAGTAAAATATTAAGAATGCACCCAACTAGTTGTTTTTCAATACACAAGAGTCCAAGCAGGTTTTAGTATTTTAAAAATCCCCATTACAATGCCAAGTTGTCACCATTTACATCAAAACAAGAACAAACCTGTATCAGAACGTACCAACAAAAAAGTAAACATAACTGTTCTATGCAGGATTGTGCTAATGAATTGTGCAGTTGGCCAACAAGATTTTCTCATAGGATTCTCCCTCATTACAGATATACTGAGATGTTGTTTGATCCTCTAGTCCCCTCATTTAGAAAGGTTGGTGGATGGAATTTACATCCAAACAGACACAAAAACCCCTTCTTAGTTGTAGCGCTTCTCCTCTAGGGTTTAACCATGGCAGGAACGTTCAACATGTGCTATCATCGGTGATTGGAGAACAATTAGCAAAATAACACCACAGAACTTAGGGCATCCTGACTGACTTCTTAGGCAATGCAGTATGGAAGGGGAAAATTAAGTTTTTTTAAAAACAAGACTTAGCTGCTGAGAAATTACTGCCCTAAGAACAGCACCATGCAAGTATTTGTAGAACATTCTCCTATTCATCCAGTTCAACTTTCTATAGAGACCTAACAAAAGGCCCTTGTGTTATAGCTGTCAGAACCTGCTGCAGTGAGAGTGGTCTGAGTAGCAGCAATGGCTGCAGGGAGATCCTTTAAGGATTACTTTGGCTATAGTTATGTCAATATATTGGCCTCCCTTTCACGATTCTGTAGTGACATATACTGTTTATAACTGAACTGAAGTTGAGAACATTTGAAAACTAACCCAACCACAACTCCAGTTAGGCCCTCAACAACAATTAACATTAATCCAAAAGACAATTTCCCCCCAAAAACAAATGTAAATTAATGTGGAATTGGACTAAAATACAGGCCATAAACGGAGAGAAATAAGGGACAAGGAATAAGCTTTCTCGATTAACTGCTATTACAAAATTAGAGGTAAAGTGCAGCGATTTAGCCAACTGTACAATGCAGTTTTGGTTAAAAGATTAATGAACTTTGATAAATATTTTCACGCATCACATTCACACATTACACACAACTATATCTTGATTTTGTTCAGTACATCATACAAATACAGTTTAACATGTCAAGGGTCCCAAAATATTAAGAAACCATAGTTAGTTTACAGCTTCGGTGTGGGTGTGTCAAGTGAATTGAAAGCATGTGCACAAGTGCATATTCAGGCAATGAATGAGAACTCAAGTGGCTGGTTATATCTCCGTAATATAACCACTGGTTAGCCTCTGTAGCATATGGACATCTTGGAACATCACTAGAGAAGTGAGAAAGGATTCAGAATGCCTGAACAGTGAAATGAGGGGGGAAAAAAGAAAGAGGTGCAAGGCTGCATGCAGCCTTGTTGAGCATGCATCTCAGGAGTTTTCAAATGTGTTTGTAATGTACAGTGAAAGGCAGTGTCTTAAAAATTGAAAGAAAACCTCATCACAAAAATGGTTCAGATAATACAGCAAATAGATAGGAATAACTCACTTAATGAAGCGTTACACAGGCAGCTTTCTGTACCCACCCCATCTAGCCTGCAGTCTGAACACAAGGTGAGAGACTCCTTTTGGCAGATGGGAATTTACAAAACAAGGTGCAATTGGTCTCATTCTGCAAAAGGAGTCATACGTGTGCATGGGGACGTGTGTCTTTTAAAAAAAAACTGCTGCAGCCCAACGCCTGCTGGCTATCCCACAAAGTTTCCAATTTAAAACTGGATGGAGCTAAGCTCACCACCTCTGCAATTCAGTGCTCTACAACAGGTTTCAGCTCATCTCAGCATCCGAGTAACCTCAAGAGGCCTGGGTGTACACAGTGCAGTTAACAGTCCAAGTGCTTTCTTTTAAAAGAATACACAAGCCTCTTTCTACAGGTGAAGTGTGATAAAAGGAAGACAAACCTGTCACCATATTTTGGCAACACAATTTATACAAAGCTCTTGGCTTCTTGCAAGCAATACTAAACCCCCACCTCAAACAGTTTTTCTGAAAGTGGTGAACAAGGTGTCAAGAACATCCTACAGGTTAGCTTGTGCGACTGAGGAGAGATTTACTAAATAAGTTACAATTTAAAACTGGTGGACTAAGACCACTGCATTGAAAAATCAAGATTCAAAGTGATCTGAATTAGTGTTGTTATAATCTATTTATATCATCTTCAACAGTTGACCTTTTTGGCTTTTGAAGCCGGTGTTCAACTACTTATAAAAGAAGTAAAGGGAAATAAAGGGGAACAAGTACCTAATTTTATTCGATAAGAAACCTCATTGTGCTTTTATTTTAAGTATATAAAAATAACTGGTAGTTCCTTGTTGCTGTAGAGATGATCAGCTTATCTCGTCCTACATCTAAAGAGCCATCTGCATTCAACCTTAATCATTGCAATGACTTGGCAAGCTGCTACCTTCTAATTTTTTAGAACTTTCATATATGACTCAATTACAGATAGTACGTAGCACCTATTTGGACTCGGCAGCTCAACAACCCAAGACGTACATTACAATCATTTCGATCAAAAGCTCAGTATTTAAACCAATGAACTCCCTATTGAGAAACCAACACAAATCCAGCTATGTTGAGGGCCAAGACAAACTATTACTTTTTAAAAGAAATTTGCACACTGGACTCCAGTTTTTACCTGGAACACTTTGGGGCGGGGGGATGCACACAGCATAGGTTTGTCTACTGAAAACTATATACACTACTGAGATTCATTCACAGCAGGTGGATCTGAAAACTTGACGAATGAGCAAAGTTTCATATTCAAAGACTATGTGCAAGTTAACTGGCTAAGGGTTAATTGCTTGCAAGTTATAACCATTTACTTTTAAGATGAGCCTGCACGTACTCCAGTAAGAGAAGGGTCCTGGACGTGTAATGCCAAGAATGCTTAAAATCGAATGAGATCACCTATTTCCTAAGAGATAATCATTTGCTGTGAACTGTATTCAACTCAGTAGTGATTTCTCTCATCTCGGGATGTTATAAAAGTAAAGTTTTTTTATGGTTTAACAGATCAGTGAACATGTTCCAAATGCTTCATTCAAATTGCTAATTTTGAAGAATCATTTTTTGATGCTCACGGGAGTAACATCAACGGTATGAATGGAAGAACTTCTTTAACACCTAGTGTCAGCAACACAAAGCTTCCTGGTCAGGGGTAGCATGGGCCAGGTGGAAAATAAAGCTTTCCCTTGTCTGCTGTAACTACGTGCTTTAGTCCACAATCATTTTCTGCAATTAATTACCTGAAGAGAGAGATGAAAGATTTGCCACACGCACATTATCACCCATTCAGTAGCTCTGCTCCTCTCCATTATTTCATTACTTTGGATTTTCCTATTCCACTCAGCTCTTCCAGGCAAAATTTGAGGATAGATTTGAGCTGTGTATTTGGATGCAAAAGGCATGGAACTGAGCCAGGTCTAATCACAGTTAAAACATGATATTTTAAGCAGAATGAGGAAAACAAATCTACGTTTCACTGGTCTGAGCTGGTTCCACATTCCGAACAAAGTGCTTTTCTGCAAACTTTAGAGCATTTGATGGTCTTCTCCCAAGTTTAAGAGATGCAGATTTGAATTTGCTCATATAGCTCATTTTTAGCATTCACATATAGACAGATATAGAAAATAAAAATCTGACCAAAATCGGCATCATATGGTCTGATATATCAGCCTTTGAAAGCCAACCAAAATTTTCTCCAGACAGAACAATCAGGCCAATACCATTGTTGTTCTTTTCGGACAGTGGCTGGGTTAGGTATGGTTGGTGGTGGTGGTGGTACCGAGGCACAGAGAAGAAAGTTCAGAGAGTCACAGTCTAGATTTAGGTGGGATTAAGATAGCACAAGTGAAACTAACATTAACTTGTGTGAACAGGCAGTCTCCCCCAGTTGGGTCTTGGTTTTGATGGATTAAATGTTTTCTGCAAGGTTAAGTTAAATACTTTGTTACTTGCAAGTGCTCACTATATAGCAGCTCCTTTCTTTTCACTTTTTAAGAAAATTCAAAAATCACATGCATTCCCAGAGTTCTTCACTCCTTCTGTCCAATTTGTTTGCTGCATTCATTGAAACTAAATGGGGTAAGGAGCATTCGTCCAAGTGCAGTCTTTCAGGATACTGTGACTTCTCCAAAAAGATGTTGCAGATTGAGGTTTCTGTCACAGGAAAGTGAAGATAGATGATGCCATGTTAGGGCCCATTACTCCACCTAACTTCTCGCAGTAAAGCAAGTTGGGAATTAAAAATCTAAAATTTAGAATTACTGGGTCAAGTACACAATGTTTCTATTTGCCTTCTGAGCTCCTCCCCAATTTAATAATTGATTTTTCTACCACTTTGTTCTTAAGATTTGTCAATGAAAAGATAATGAAGCTTTTGTTTCAAAAGCAATACTGATTAAAACAACCTAATCAAAGTGCAAAACGCTCATTGGTAAAGAGACATACCTTTCTTACATATCCCAGGTGACGCTGTCCTTGTGATATGCTTAGATCTGAAACAAATCCAGCTACCTCAAGGTTTCTCAGGAAAGAATAATAACCACATTCTATGCTATCACTATTTGATGCTACAGGTTTGGGACAACAGGTCTCAAGAGATTAAGGCCAGTCATCTCCTATATTAAAACATCTTGTCAAACTGTTTCTGCACTAAATCTGTTGCACTGACCTGCAGATTGGGGCTTTCATTCTCACATTTACACCAATATCTGACCCTACGAACCATATCCTCTCAAAACAGAATTAAATACTGTCCAAGACACAGTGAAAGATCAACAATTCATTCGTATTCTACACCAAAACATCAAAACTAAAATGGTCAAAATACTAAATAAGTTGCTACAAGAGTCCATTCTAAGGCAACTAACTTTCCTTGGCAATAATGTTAGTGTTTACATCACTTTCAAGTAGACTGTAGAAGGACGGAGAGCTGAATTTAGAAAGCAATCCTCAGTTCAAAAAAAAACGTACTTGACTAGATGTGCTGTTGTCAAAGTGCAAACTTGCAGGTTGTGTTTTAAGGATGAATTTGATCCCATTGGTGATAATTTCTGGTCACTCAGACCATATTCATTGGTTCTTTTGGCCCAGAATCTCAGATTTAACATTACCAATGTTAAGACCCATATAATACATGACCTGTTGATAATACACAGTTAAAAGCATTCCTCCATCTTTCATTGATATGGAAAGGAAGCACCAAAGGACGAAACTTCAGAAAAATGATGATTTCTATGGAGCAAATCTCACAGGCCCCTTCATGTTGAAACAGGGCTAAACACACTGAAAAAGTAACAAAGTTATACACATCTTTAAAAATAACACAAAAACACATGCATAAAACAGTAGATGAGAAAACAAAATAATCACCAATCAGGGTGTGTGAATAGGTTTGGCCAGAAATAAAAGCCAGAAGACAGAGAATCTTGAGCCCAAATACCACTTTTTCATAAAAATAGGATGGAGTGTTAAACAAGGCTGCTGATTCACCATCTCCTTTGTAAGATCCCTTACCATGACTCACATCACATTGAAACAATCCCAAATTTGCTTATAACCAACCCATGTGCCCACATAACCTGGCATAGGCAACCATTCCAGAACAATCAAATACTGATAAATAAGTTAAAACGGAGCTATGAGTAATGGAACGTACAATAGTGTTTAAATGTTGGAAAGCTCCAGGAGTCTTCAATTCAAATGCATTCCATTCCTTTAATTTCATGGCTAGAGGAGAAGGTCAATATTGTTGTGACCTTTCTCTCCTTCCCAGTCAGGTGCTGCTTCTACTTTAGGATCAGAAGTTAGAGGACAAACATGTGGCTGGTAGCTAAATATAAACATTGACATGTTACTGCAAGGGTTAAATATAAAAATATGAATTTCTTTCACCTTTAGACATGAATGCTTTCCTTGCAGCCTCAGTTCCAAGTTTTCATTCAACTGATTCATGATTACGTGCAGTAGTGATATTGTTCTTTGATATTTTGTTAAAGATTATAATGCAAAAGATCCTAAGGTGAGCTGTTTTAGGGCAATTAAAATAAAAAAGAGGTAGCAAAAATCCTTGTGTAAAACAACATCAAAAACAAGCAATGTCCAGAAACTACTGACCAACACCTTCAAAAAAGGTTTTGGGAAGGAGACAGGCAGGTGCAGAGGAGCAACCGTCTCCATTTTCCATCTCCAATCCAGCATACAGCAGTACAGACAAGGTAAACAGTGAACCTCTGCATTACTTCCCAACAGCTGTGAGTTCCAAGCTAAAAATATCAAATGTAAAAATAGTGCAAATTGGCACTATTTGTGGACAGAGAAATGAGGACAAGTGCTAGTAGTGCATAAACAAATACTACCATGTCTGGTATTGGAAGCTGTTGACACAAAATTAATGGTAAATGGCCCCAATTTTCCACCAAACTTCCTGTTCCTCTTCACCTTCTTCCCTAGCAAAAGAACACTTATCCACTATCTGCAATCCAGGCATCATTTTACTTGGATCAGACTGGAACGCAGAGAACTAGAGAAAAGAGAGGTAATATATACAGTTACATTCCTATCTACACCTTTTAATGATATTCTGTGCTAACTCGGGAGAACCATAGGCAAGGTTTGCTCAAAAATACTGTCTGGAAAAAAGAAGCCCATGAGTTCCTTGCATCATTCCCAACAAGCGGTCCTATTGCAAATCCCTACAAGTCTAAGACATTGGATAAAAACATCTCAAGTTTTGCTTTCTTGCTGCATAGCAGAAGGTAAACAATAATGCTGAACTAGTGTTAATACTTATACAGCGCTCAATGCAAACAACCCTGCTCAATAAACTGAGTTCGTCCTTTGCTTTCTTTTCCTCCCCACTCTGTGGAGAATTCCTGCAAATCCACACTGTCTTCCACAATTTCATCACGTTGAGCCATCTTTGCGCAGCGGCCCAGAATGACTTTTGCAGAGTCTGTCCATGATGCTTTGTAGGATGGGCTGAACTATTCCAAGCAAGGGCCTCTGGGAAGGGTCACCATTCCAGCATGCCTCCATCAGCTGCCAACATTCCTCGTCAAACGTAGGTAGCCGTTCTGGCCGTGCACCTAGAACCAAAGAATCACAAAATTACACCGTATGAAGGAGCCCATTGAGCCCAATGTGCCTGTGTCAACTCTTTGTAAATAGTAGCCAATTAGTCCTACAATCCCTTGAGCCTTCCCCAATTGTCTGTGTATCTATGCCAAATGGACAGCAGTGATTCAAGATGACGGCTCATCACCTTTGAGGGCAACAAATGCAGGCACAACCAGAGATGCCCACAAACCACGAGTGAATGAATAAAACAAATTACAAGTAGTGTTGACTGACCCTCCTGCCAGCAAAAACATTATTAGCCAAGTTGAAAAGATACACCAAGGCAGAAGAGGAGGGGGGAGTAAATGAAATTTGCAAGGGAATGCAGAATGATAGCACTAGGGAATAAAATGATACGTGTGAATGCAGTTTCACAACATCTATGTCCCTCAACGGCTTGGCTGCTGGCATCGGCACACAGTTCTGAACAGGGATGCTTTCTGACGTAGATATAGTTAAAGGAAAGTCATTCATCCATTACTTAAGGATGTGGGACTTATTTTGGTCACAGTAGCAATTTGGTATCATTGTGAGGGACTGACATGACTTGAGTACATTCTGATGGCTGAGTGGATATGCGCTTGGTCTCTTGATAAAAGGTGGTTTAATGCTAGCATGTGTGGAATATAGAGATGAAAGATAGTGTTAATCTCAAAAAATAAGAACCGAGTAATTGTATTGGGATTTTGCAATATAGTTTACCCAAGTACTTTTGTTGATCCACATTAAATAAGCATGTCAAAGGCCTAATTCTGCAGTCATTACAATTGCTGTCTGTGCACTCCAGTATTTAACAAAGACAAAGCAGGAAACCAGTGCAAAACCGTCATTACTCTACTCACTGCACCGAATTACAGTTGTGGGCAATCTGAAATTATTCAATGAAGAGGAATGCCAGCCAGAAAATTAAACTCCCAGCAAACTTTATGCTGAAGCAATACACAAGGCATTTCTCCACAGACTAATGACAGACCCCAAGCCTTCAATTTAACATTTAGAGATAGAGGTACAGATAAGAATCTGTTGTCAGTGACTTCACTCCTGATATCAAGTAGCAATTACTGGCAGAATAAATCAGATGCTCCGGGAAGATAGAAATATGAAAGAAAACTCAATCCCACTTTTATCTCATACACTGTGGTGAAAGTCAAGATAAAGTGCATTTGGAGTCAGCAGAGAAGCACTCCTATGTAGATCGTCGTGGGCGTGAGTTCACAATTATCAGATAGAATAAAAGATCAGATATGGCACTGGGGCCATTGACTCTAGTTTGAATTTTTGGCAATTTTAACCCATAGCCTGGCCTGGGGATGCAATAAAATTGCTGTAAATTAATTTTCTGGCTGGCATTCCTCTGCATCGAATAATTTCAGATTGCCCTCACAACTGTAATTCGACGCAGTGAATAGAGTAACGACGGTTTTGCACTGGTTTCCTGCTTTGTCTTGATTAAATACTGGAGTGCACAGACAGCAATTGTAATAACTGCAGAATTAGGCATTTCACATGCTCATTTAACACAGACCAACAAAGTACTTGGGTAAACTATATTGCAAAATCCCAATACAATTACTTGGTTCTTATTATTTTTGAGATTAACACTACCTTTCATCTCTATATTCCACACATGCTAGCATTAAACCATCTTTTATCAAGAGACCAAGCATATATACACCAAGCCATCAGAATGTACTCGAGTCCTGTCAATCCCTCCCAAGGTCATTCTCCCAAGTCCCAGGTGACAAATCTTTCCCTGACAATTTTATTCAGTGGAATGGAGAGTAGAATGTGGATCGAATAATCCTTTTGTGTATTAGCCAATTTTCTTTATCTCACTACACTTCCCTGATCCAATCTCTAGAATTCTTGTCCGAAATCTCTGCATCTCTCTTTCTTGAAGATGCCCCTTCAAATTTACTTCCAACAAATGTTTAGTTGCCAGTCCACAGGACAACTTCAGCACTGTCAATTTTTAATTGCATTACTCTCCCATGAAGTCCATGAGCAAAAGTTAGCAAAGTTTAAAAAGAACCAATTTACATGCAAACCTCTTGAGAGAAACTCCAAAATATTTCACGGAGAAGTATAATACCAAATACCTTTCTTCACATTGTTCCACAGCTGATCCTTGCTTGAACATTTTTCGAATGCCTCTGGGAGTTTAATCGTGCCAGTGCAGAGATACCAGAAAAGGATTCCAAATGCATACACATCCACAGAATTGTCATACTTGCCTAAAGGTTTGTGGGGTTTGGGAATGGTGAAAAGGATGGAAAAAACAATATAACCAACAAAACTTTTAATGTTTGAGAATATGCTGTGTAAGTGCCTTGAGGAGGGATATATTCCAGTCATAAATTCAAGTCCACACATAATACCAGTTTACTCCTCCTCCCCCTCCCTCCACACACGATCTCAAAATGAAAACAGTGATTTGTAACACCACAAAAAAAGGCCTCTGATTTCTCTTGACTAGTTCTCAGTGGGTAGTATTCAGAGAGTGTCAACAGCAGGGTGACTATGGACTGTCTTGTACCTTTGCTTCATATCAAGACTACTGTAAGATGAGGATATCAAGAGATATGAAGAAAAGGCACGTGATGAATTGAAGTATAGACCAGTGATGTAAATGAAAGGTGGAAAGTGCTGGAGGGATTGAATGGTCTACTCCTGTTCTTTTAGGAAGAACAGTATCAAGAGAAGTGACAGACAGACAATATTGGATCCCTCTGAGCCAAATTAATTCCAGTTACACTGAAATAGCTACAAACAAGATGATGCATACGTATGTTTGAAGCCAGCTCGGTCTGGTCTCGAGTTGAACTGATGGCCAAGTGTCAGAAGCAACACCCGTTCAACTTACAGTTGGCACACTGACACTGCTTGCTTGAAGTAATTTGATACTTCCAGTGGCACTACTTCAGTGTTGTTTACAATACAAACAGTGCACAGTGAACACCGAGTCTAAATCAACGATATCAAAATTAGAACCCCAATCAAAACAGACTGAATTACAGATCGGTCAGATCCATGCTATCAAGGGTATACTAAAACATTGATCATTAGTCTGATTGCTCAGCATAACTGCTTTAAAAAAGTACTAGTTAGGTGCCACTGTATACTTTTCCTGATCTATTGTCTTTGAGAATCTTAAATTTTAATGCCTTTAAGTGCCAGGTCCAAAGAACAGCAAGGGGGGGAAAAAAATAAAGCTTTCATACTAATACAGGAGAAGAAGTCAGAAATAATCCTTAAATCAATCAGCACTAGAAAAATCATGAAAGACTTTTTCCATGTGTAGATTTTTCAGTCAAAACAGGGAATCAGAGACATGCCAAATTCTCTCACCCTCCATTGATACACACTAGATAATGACTGAGATGGAAACACCATTTCATTTCAACTTTCTCAGATGTGAGACAAAGACCCCAAACAGCCATATTTGCCAAGCTACTGGAACAGTACTGAAGCCAAAAACTTCAAGGCAGATACTAACCAATCAGCTAGCACAGCCTACACTGCTAACCAAACACAACTTCAGCTTAGCAAAGCGGTCTGGAAACCTCATCCAAGCAATCAAATAACATACCTGAAAACAGCTCAGGTGCCATGTGTATAGGGGTTCCCACGATGCTCCCAGACATCATAGCTTCAGGTTTGCAGAATCCTAGGTCAGTGATTTTGGCTCGATTCTGCTTGTCCAACTATGGATCACAAAATAAGAAATACAAACAAAAAACATTGAAATGCAAACCCTTCATTACCTGAGAAAACGAGGAAGGAGAAGGGTGGGTCATCAGACCTGAAATGTTAACTCTGATTTCTCTTCATAGATGTAGCCAGACCTGCTGAGCTTTTGAGTAATTTCTGTTTTTGTTTCTCAAAACTAGGAGAAGATTCAATTCACCTGAAGTTAAAAAAAGACAACTGTTTCTGATGTGGTGCTTACCATATTGCCCAGGAACGGTATTCAAACAGCAATACAGCTCACTGGACATTCCAAGTGAACAATTTTCCCTGAACATTGAAAGACAAACATCCGAGTATCCAACATCATGGGACCTTCCTGGCCCAGTGCACCTCTGATAGTGCTTTCAGGAACAGTTCAGGCAGCTTTTTGTTAATTTCACTCATGGTTAACTTCTATGTTGTTGATTGATTGATAACTGATTATTGTCATGTGTACCGAAGTACAGTGAAAAGCTTTGTTTACTGTGACCAGCCTGTACTGCTTGTAAGCAATGATGTACAGATGAGAGGTGGTAAAAAGACTTAGAGGCATTCAGGTTACATTGCACAGGGCATGTGCTGGATGAGATCAACATTATTGGAGGCTAGAGTCCATTCAATAAGTCTATTGATGGTCAGGAAGCAGCTGTTCCTAAGCCTGCTGGTTTGAGTGTTCAGACGTCTTATCTTCCGCCTGACGGAAGAGGTTGTAGGAGATCATTACTGGGGTGCGATGGGTTTTTGATGATGTTGGCAACCTTTCCGCAGCAGCAAGCCATGCAAATAGTGTCCACGATGGAAGGTTGGCTCCCGTGATGGTCTTGGTTGTGCACACAACTTTCTGTAGTTTCTTATAGTCCTGGGCAGAACAGTTGCTGTACTAGGCCATCATACACCTGGTGCATCTGTAGAAGTTGGTGAGGGTCCTTACGGTCATGCCAAATTTCTTGAGCTAACGAGGGAAGAAGCATTGTTGTGTCATCTTAAACGGTCGCAACTACGTGGAAAGTCCAGGACAGATCGTCGGTTATCACCACTCCAAGGAACTTGGTGTTCTCCACCCTCTCAACCTCCACTTTGTTGATGTAGATGGGGGCATATCCTTCTCCTTTCTTTCTGTTTTGCCGATATTGAGAGGGGGATTTTTTTCATTGCCCCACGTCACCAAGCCCTCCATCTCTCTTCTATATTTTGGCTCATTGTTAGATATCCATCTTACTACGGTGGTGTTGTCAGGGAACTTGTAGATGGCGTTCGTTTGGAATTTGGCAAGTCATTAGTATACAGGATGTACAGTAGAGGGCTGAGAATGCATCCTTGGGTGATCCAGTGTTGTGTTATTGTAGAGGAGATGCAGTTACCTATCTTCATCGATTGCTTTGTGCGTCAGAAAGCAAGGATCCAGTTGCGGAGGGCGGAGCCCAGACCAAGGTTAGGGAGTTTTGAGATCAGTCTGGAGGGAATAATGACATTGAAGACGGAACTATAGTCAATGAGCAGGAATCTGACATAGGTGTTCTTGTTGCCCAGATGTTCTAGCAATGAGTGCAGGGCTAGGGATATGGCATCCATTATGGACCTGTTACATTGGTAAGCAAATAATTGTAGGGGATTGAGGCAGGCTGCGAGACTAGGGTTGATGTGGGCAACGACCAGCCTCTTGAAGCACTTGGTGACTATGGAGGTCAGTGCTACTGTGCAGTAGTCATTAAGGCACATTGCACGTGCTTTCTTAGGTACAGGGATGACGGTGTCTTTTTGAAGCAGGTGGGAACTTCAGCTTGTAGGAGGGAGAGGCTGAAGATACCGTCCGGGCCTGTGACTTTCCTTGGTTAACTCCCAGGAAAATTGATCCGACATCTGCAGTGGCGACCAATGGAACAAGTGTGTTCGGGGCTGTTGGGGCAGGCGTCACTGTGCTGCTGGTATTCTGCTCAAACCAAGCACAGAAAGTACCGAATGCATCAGGGAAGGATGTGTCTTCGTCTGCTTCATTTTGTATTCTGTAATGTTATTTAGTCCTCACCATAGACGGTGGAATCTGTTTAGTAGGTTTGGGACTCTAACTTGGTCCAGTACTGCCTCTTGGCATTCCTGATGGATTTGTGCAGGTCATTTCTGGATTTCCTGTATTGGTCTGGGTCATCCAACTTGCATGCTGCATGTCTGGTCTTCAGTAGGGAGTGGATTTCCTGGTTCATCCAAGATGTACGGTTGGGGAACACTTTGACTGACTTTTTCGGTAAGCAGTCCTCCACGCATTTGCTAATGACATCCGTGATGGTAGTGGCTTACTTGTCTAGGTTTTCCACTGAGTACTTGAACACAGCCCAGTCCATCGATTCCACGCAATCCCAGAGACAGAGACATTCTTCCACAGCCTTGGACCAGCATTGTACTTCCTTTTGAGAAGGATCCTCCCATTTCAGCTTCTGCTTGTAAGCTGCGAGGAGGAACACAGTGTTGTGATCTGATTTTCCGAAGTGTGGGCAGGGGATGGAGCGGTAGGTGTCTTTGATGATTGTGTCGCAGTGGTCCAGAACGTTCAGTCCCCTGCTGGAACAGGAGATGTGTTGGTGGTACTTTGGCAGCACCTCGAGGATGGCCACAATGAATAGGGCCTTGGGAAATTCCGTCTCTAGAGTGTTTGTGGCGATGTAAATCACATCTATGACATTCTTCACATGCACATTGGGTGGAAGGTAGACTGCTGTCAGGATGGTAGAGGTGAGCTCTCACAACAGTTGGTACAGACAGCATTATACAATGTCAATAAAGAAAAATATCAAAGGTCTGTGTTGAATGCGAAATTTGCCTTGATGAAGAAAAAGTACGCCAACTCGATGGGCCAAATGACCTCTTTCTACTGTAACAGTCTATGAGTCAAGGAACATTGTGCATTGGGTGGGTGGGTGGTGGGGGTTTGGGGGGGGGGGGGGGGGGGGGGGGGGGGGGGGGGGGG